GTCAATGTATTCACAACTTCATCAAAATAACGAGATAGGATTCCAACGTTTATAGAAATTCGAACCTTCTCAAGATATTAGCTCTCGATTAGGCGTTTCATTGTCAAGTGTCCTCCATTTTGTCGTCCCTGTTTGTAGTTTCATTTTTATAAAACAACTGAAATAATCCCCCAAGTATGAATTTTATATAACACCAAGTGTTTGCAGGTGAACTTTTAACTTACAGTAACGTGAGCTCCTAGAAATCTGATGTCGCTTTGTATAAATTTGGGTGAACATGACCTGTTGACGGTGCGTCAGGTGTCATGTGTAAACTTGGAACGAGACTGCGGCGTCACTGACGTAATCGAACAGAATACCACACGCACCTGGTCACACAGTTTTGAACTTGGAAATCTAATTGTTGGGCAAAGTACTTCATATTGCATCAGAGACCGATTTTTTTAAAGGTAACCTGCGGGCTTTGGACTTTTTTTTCGGCAGTGAACTTATGACTTCGCGTAGGTATAGTGTATCAATGCATCCGACGAGTTCAACGAACCGAAAACGAGCTAGAACATAATAGTTCTGTAAAACTATTTGAGTTTCTAGTACTGGTGGACCAAAGTTGACAAAAGAAATACCAAGACGAATTTATGTGTTTACCAAAGTGCACTTATACCCACAGCACTTGATAACGCAAATTAAATAGGTATCTTAGCCCCATGGGGCATGAACTCTTGGTTAAACACTTTGCAACAGATAATAGCCTCCAAAATGCTGGATTCATCCGCTATTCAGCGCATCAATGACAATAAAGATGCTGATCAAACCCAATGGCATTCAGTGTATCGTATCTATGGATATCTTGTCATATGCTCATTCACGCGAGAAGTCCATTTAGGGTTCGTTAAGGAGGAGAATGTCAAGCTGGGCATTAAGGTCACATAACCAACATACCGGTCAACTAGCAAAACAACAAAAACAACAACAACAGCAACAACAATCAGTCAAGTGTGAACTAAGTTTGTTTCTGTCACCACGAAACGCTGATAAGCTTATGCTTATTAATTCAATATATTGCACACTTTGTATTGTGTTCTGTGTTGTCTCGGTTAGTATATTTACGAGAGGTTCCGAGGCTCTCACTTATCTGGTTTGTTCAACTTTTCTCCTGAATAGATAAATGTCATGATGTCAGATACTCAGTGTCGCACAGACTTTCGCTTTAAATGTGTAACACTGTTCAGACAACGGCTAGTATAATATTCAGAATTAGTACGAACGTACTATACTATGAATCGGTTGTAGATGCTTATGGAGGTTCCCAATGTTTTAGCTAACCAGCCATACTGTTACATAGCTAAGGGGGTAAGCGCGTTGGATATCATCCCGTCCGTCAACTTTCTGTCAGCGCCATCCCCGGCTCTACTAGTCTACTACATTATATTGTACCTTTTTAAATTTGAAAAAGTGGAATGCGTTTATGCGTGATGCTGATTCTTTTAGTCGGCAATCACTATAATTTCAAACTTTTTTGACTGATCCTCGCTTTGTGGAACACTGCGCATGTATTCATCGCGTGTACGTTGTACGTTGCATGGAGAGCACAGCTTCGGTTTGTTCCTTGCATGGCAACCACCGGTTGATCCAACTTCCGGTTATTACTTTTCATGAAGCTACAATAAAAACATAAGAACGTCAAGTTTATTTTCCTTTTTTTAATATAAATCACTGTCTCATATATGTACGTTTCTATTGATAATTATTGCGGTTCTACCATTCAATACTCATGGCTCAAAATAGTTTTTCCTTTTCTGAAGGACGGTGAATCGGATATTGTGTTACCAATTGCAATTCAGAATATAATCTGAATAATTACCAGGAATAAAATAATTTCGCGGAACGTGTTCATCATAATGAATTTTCCCAAAATATTAAAAAAAAAATAATTAGTCAAATTAATTTTAAATTACCATCATAGTTGTCACCAAATTGAATGTTACCGCAAATGCCTTCATACGAAAAATAAATACAGTGTTGAAATAGAATCGCTTTCTGTGAGGAAGGATGACAACCTACATTAACGAGATTAAATTAATTCTGCACTGCAGTTTATTGCATCCGAACGGTTTTACTTTGAAATCCGGAATTCGGAGAGGCTGTCACTTTTTTCGGTACAAACATCAAATCCTTTAAGTTTGTTGCCAATACATTACTGTCACGTACACAATGTAGTCTCGATGGTTCACTAACTGATGTGAATTCACTTAGACAGAATAACAATCACTACTCTGCAATGCCATGACTGGGATTATGTCTTAGTGTGTTTGGAATCCATTAAGTCTCTCTCCCTATTAATACGTGTGCGTATTTTGAATTAAGTGTAATACATTTCATGTTCTTATCTACAGTACTTGGTTCATTGTATTGTGTTTAAGTGTGTATTTGGAAAATCTAAATTGTATTACGATTCTTTGAAAATTTCAAGACCAAAAGATCATTGTTCTCAGGCGAATTAAATAAAGTGGTTTCCGACTGTTTCTGTTTATCAACCTAATTTGCTATTCAATAATTCCATTAATAGTGTCTGGATTGCGACTGACGACTTTCTTCTGTGTGGCTGAAAGTCACATTTTTATTTCCCTTTTCACAATTTTCAACAAAACTAACATAAGTACAGTTCCTCTATAAACCTTGTTAGATGTTCAGTTAGTGAGCGCACCTTTACAATGACGTCATTACCACATTGCATGGTATATACGGATTTTAGGGAAAGGCGCGCTAAGCATGACTACAACTTAAAGCGGAGGGGTAACGATAACAACGCATGCTTAAAACGCAAAGGCTCGTGGATAGGCGCTTGTTTGTAAACAACGATGGCCGCCTCCCACATGCGTAGGTGACGACTCCTCAGCTTCTTTAATAATTTCAACGTAAAGCCGTGTCACATGTACCACAACGCGAGTATGTGACAGTTTTTGAAAACTCAATTTAATGAACAAAATCTACCCCATTTATTTTGCCTTTAAAACAAATTTATTCGAGCACACTCACCAATTTAATGATAATTACCAAGGACATTAGTTTCTGTTATTATTCTACCATGATTTATTTGATTAATTAATCAGTTTTCCTGACAACCTTTAAGTTTATTGAATTTCAAGACATTTAATATGCTCATTAACATCATTCAATCTCTAGCTTTCGAGTTTCTGTCGTATCTAGGACATCACTTTTGTATTTCGAAAACACGATCGAACTTGCTTTTATGGCGCGAACCGCTGCCTCTGTACAAAAAGCCAGATTATCATCAAGTGACGACGCGTAATTCGTGATTTCACAGTATTTAAGTCAAACATTAACCTGCTAAAATAAGGTATACAGGCAAATGACTATATATTGGAATACATTTCGTGGATATATTACAACGATGACAAACTGAAATATGCATATAACAAGGATGAACAAAGATGGCGGATTGGAGTCAACAGATGACGTACCATAACCAATCTGATTAAAATATTATCTCTGTCTGGGTCGTTAGTTCATTTACATTTAAAAAAATATTTGTTTATATTTATGTATTTTTTTTTACTAATCATCAATTGCTAGAAGTTTTTTTGACTGACTATTGTAAGGAGGTAGTATAAGCAATTACATTTTTAAAACAATGTAACCACGCCGTAACAAAATCATAAAATATAAACCCGCATACTGCAACACTGAAAATATTTGTGAACAACTATCGGACATAAATGATGCTGCACCCAAAGTAAGAAATTGATAACAGTTGAATTTAGAAATCTTATCACCAATTGAATGCGAGCACGTGATAGATAGTTAAGTTGTGTGTGCTACATTTCATGTCTATCTTACGCGGGTTTCCAGACACCATATGTCAGCCTTATATCTTAATATTCAACAAATGATGTATTTCATAGTCATATATTATTTGTTGAAATTAATAAATATACACAATGGTCAACTTCAATAATGAAGTGGTGGGCGTGTAATCTGATAAACTCGATTCGAGGTCGGCATAGTTGGGCGTGATCAGGAATCCCGATAACAAATCATTCCTTGGATACATCGACGAAAACAACTAGATTGACCGATTAGAGATGTGATGAGTGACCAGCAATACGCTTTGAAGGGTTTTCAAACTGACTGTCATTTTTCCACGCAAAAACGGGATATTGTCTCATAGAAGCCCAAGATGGCAGCTAAGGTTTGTAACGCCGGTCTGTAGGGTTATTTCTATCGTATACGTGGCTTATATTCGGCTTCACAGGGAGTATTCAACTGGCCCTCTTTTGATTGAACAGTTCCGTTGAATATATACCATAACAAATTCGTTTCTCTTTTCCAGCTGCGACCGGACATCACATGTAATATGTATGTTCGCATGTCTGTATTTTGTTTTCGCCCAAAGCGACGAGATCTTCAAATTTTGACAGGCGTCGGGGAACAAATGCATGCAGGGAGTATAGGAATAAAACGATATACACGAGATATTTACATTGATTATTCGACTGCTGTTGCCGGAGATCGGAACTTATTATTCAATGCTACTTGATCAAAAATATGCGTACCTCCAGCAAAATGAGACTCGGAGCATAGTTCTACAAGCAGGTGGTGGGATACATTGAAGGTTGCGTCACATGCTATTAGATTTAGTCTGTTGAACACGGCAGATTTAGTTAATTTTATTCATATACACGTTTCTGGACGGATATGGAGTTTAAAAGGCCCCTAAACATGTATTAGTATGCGTGGCTTATTTGTGTATCAGACGATAAACAATATGAATACGTGTGGAGTAAATACAACTGTCATCACTGCGCATTGCACGTGTCAATGGCAGAACGAAATCGGTCCTAATCACGCCAAATACCTCACGCATTTTTTCTATAGCAACGTGCTTTTTAGAGTATTTGTATATATATTAGCTCCTTCCACGATAGTTTTTCTTTAAATTCACTTGATTGTAATTTTTATCTTTTCTTGGTGTTTTGCAGATAATGGTATTCCAGTTTACGAGAGTATAGTATGCTAAGAGAGATGTCTCCAGTACGGTCATGGCCTGTCGGGGTTAATCACCCACTACTTCATGTGCCTGCAATTAGAACTTCAGAAATACGCCCCGGGAGGGCACTGTTGTTAAAGAGAGCCAACACAGATTTATCATATTGCGCTTCACGGCAGAATGCTGCAGTATCTGGTAGCTTTCCGGAGCCACGTTCACGCTACAATCAAAGTCCGCTGCGGAATACGCATAACGATTCACCGAGGCAAAGTCGAGGGAAATACATTAATAATGTAAGCGTTTTTCCTACAATTGCTAATGGAAATGTCTCAACGTCGTCTTCCCCCTTCCCTGGTTCTAATAAATCTAGACCTGGAACAAATAGGAATTTCCTTGATGTAGAATCACCAATTAGGAAAACAAAGAGTCTTCCTTCGCAGTTATCTTCTCGCAATAATGACTTCTGGAATCGCGATAAAGTGCGACATGTTAACGGTTACGGACCAACGCGAGACTTTGTACGCGAATCCACAAGACTCTCGCGTGATATCACAAGATTAAGTTTACAGCGAGAGCCGACAGTTTTGTTACCTTCGAAACACGGCTACCACAGGCGAAGCAAGTCACCGACTTATATAGCTTTGATCGAAGCGAAAGAATATTTGGACGCGCTTTTGTCCAAAAAAATAAAAGATTTTCTTAAAACGCGAGAAGGCATCCGAGCAACCAATAATTCCGCCATGACGGAAATGACGTCACATGACATCATACGATTCCCGTCGACAACTCCCGAATCAAACCGAGGACGGACAACCCTAATGTTGAATGATCATTTTGAAACACATATTGCCGATTTGTCGGACAATGACGTTAGTGACGTTGAGTCGATGTTTAGTCATAGTGACGCCGTGGACACGCAATGTAAACCGCTTTTTTCAGTGAGCCTCGTACGTCCTCGCCCGTCACTCTCATTTCGCTTTGATATGAAGTTCCTACGTGATCACCTCAATGACACAATCTTTCTGAATATGGACTCCGATGCAATAGAAAGGCGATACAAGTCGAAACACAAAACGAAAAAGAAAAAGCGAAAAAAGAAATCGGTAGATTCGCCTGGTTCCAAACTTCATGTTTACCCACCACTACCGCACACAGCAAAAAGCGTCAGAAAAACCCCTGAAGATGAAGCTATCGAAGAAGAAAGCATAGTATCATCATCTAGTGTGGACGATGGGGGCGTTAACCTTATACAATCGTACGAAGAGAAGTTAGCAGACATCGACGATGAATACAAACTTCCGGTCGTTTCTCCTCCTCCCCCTGTGATAACAGAAAGGCCACCTATAGTTATAACTATGGACGACATTGATAAAAAGATGGCTAAAACGTCACAAACTCTTCAATCAACTTTTAAACGGATTTCAGAAGCTGAGCAGACGGCGGCAGTCATACCTAGTCCAGCCCAGGTTATAAAGCCAGAGCCGGAGCCGGAACCGGAACCGCCAGTGATGACATCTCACCAGAAGTATCAAAAGATGAAGCAACGAATGGAAAATCGAAAACAGGAAAGGGAGACTAGAAAGGAATCGTATTTACAGTACTCCATGCAATTGGAACACATAAAAAAGATGAACGACAAGGTTGGGAAGGACGAAGATGGGAACAATATGTTAGCTTCCATGACACTTAAGAAAATCGATAACATAATGGAGTACAAAACTCGACGACAGGGGCGCTTTGGGGTCATAGTTCATGATAGTGACAGTGATGACGATGAGGATGATATCGATACTGAGTCGGAGAATAGCCAGTAATATGACACCGCTGGTGGCGCCATTGAAATTTACAACGTATTTTGGACATGAATATATTACTCACACTTTCTTTCACAATAGTATTTTTTTGATGAGGACTAGTATTCAAGTTAATATGATCAGGACGGAACTCAACTTTTTTTAAACAACTACTAATATTCACGGATAAAATTCATTGATCAACGTCTCTTATGTCGCCTTGGTGATTTCTGGTGAATGTTGATATTTAATGTGTTTTATTTCTAAACTATGGGATTTATTTACAAAATTGTCTCGTTTTTTTGACGTCAAGCATTTTAGTTCCATTTGTTCTTGCAATCAGTTTCTAATCAATTACCATTAATGCAATTCAACACAGTTTAGCTGCAGTTTATATCATGTAGCACCACTGATGTTGCTGTTATAACTGCTGACGATGACATACCTTCTATCAAAATATCGACTCTGCAAATAAAACAATATATATTTATGTATATACTATTAATGCAATTCAATTTATGTATGGATGCATGTGGTTGATAATATCGATGTGATTTCTATTCGTGATTTATATTCGTGATTTCTATTCGTGATTTTGAATGAGTAGTACAGTCGCACGGTTTTATATGGACAATCTGGACATCAGATATGTGACTTGGAGGGCGCTGTTGATATACTCACTTATAGTTCACCCTGACCCTAGAGTTTATTGACACACACTATACATGGGTTATTCATGAAATAGGTCGATAGAGGGTTGTAGAGATGGGTCATTCATGAAATAGGTCGGTGGAGGGTTGTAGAGGTGGGTATTCATGAAATAGGTCGGTAGAGGGTTGTAGAGATGGGTCATTAATGAAATAGGTTGGTAGAGGGTTAGAGATGGGTCATTCATGAAATAGGTCGGTGGAGGGTTGTAGAGGTGAGTCATTCAAGAAATAGTTCGGTAGAGGGCTGCATAAATGGGTCATTCATAAAATAGGTCGGTAGAGGGTTGTAAAGGTGGGTCATTCAAGAAATAGGTCGGCAGAGAGCTGTAGAGATGGGTTGACCATGGAATAGGTCGGTAGAGGGTTGTAGAGGTGGGTCATTCATAAAATAGAGCGGTAGAGGGTTGTAGAGGTGGGTCATTCATGAAATAGGTCGGTAGAGGGTTGCAGAGGTGGGTCATTCATAAAATAGAGCGGTAGAGGGTTACAGAGGTGGGTCATTCATGAAATAGGTCGGTAGAGGGTTGTAGAGGTGGGTCATGCATGAAATAGGTCGGTAGAGGGTTGCAGCGGTGGGTCGTGCATGAAATTGGTCGGTAGAGGGTTGTAGAGATGGGTCATTCATGAAATAGGTCGGCAGAGGGCTGTAGAGATGGGTTGACCATGAATAGGTCGGTAGAGGGTTGTAGAGATCGGTCAATCATAAAATAGAATGGTAGAGGGTTGCAGAGGTGGGTCATTCATGAAATAGGTCGGTAGAGGTGGGTCATTCATGAAATAGGTAGATAGAGGGTTGTAGAGGTGGGTCATTCGTGAAATAGGTCGGTAGAGGGTTGTAGAGATCGGTCAATCATAAAATAGAGCGGTAGAGGGTTGCAGAGGTGGGTCATTCATGAAATAGGTCGGTAAAGGTGGGTCATTAATGAAATAGGTAGGTAGAGGGATGCAGAGGTGGGTCATTCATGTAATAGGTCGGTATAGGGTTGCAGAGATGGGTCATTCATGAAATAGGTCGGTAGACGGTTGCAGAGGTGGGTCATTCATGTAATAGGTCGGCAGATGGTTGCAGAGGTGGGTCATTCATGAAATAGGTCGGTAGAGGGTTGTAGAGGTGGGTCATGCATGAAATAGATCGGTAGAGTGTTGTAGAGGTGGGTCATGCATGAAATAGGTCGGTAGAGGGTTGTAGAGGTGGGTCATTCATGAAATAGGTCGGTAGAGGGTTGCAGAGGTGGGTCATTCATGAAATAGGTCGGTAGAGGGTTGTAGAGGTGGGTCATTCATGAAATAGGTCGGTAGAGGGTTGTAGAGGTGGGTCATTCATGAAATAGGTCAGTAGACGGTTGCAGAGGTGGGTCATTCATGTAATAGGTCGGTAGAGGGTTGCGAAGGTGGGTCATTCATGAAATAGGTCGGTAGAGGGTTGTAAAGGTGGGTCATGCATGAAATAGATCGGTAGAGTGTTGTAGAGGTGGGTCGTGCATGAAATAGGTCGGTAGAGGGTTGTAGAGGTGGGTCATTCATGAAATAGGTCGGTAGAGGGTTGCAGAGGTGGGTCGTGCATGAATTTGGTCGGTAGAGGGTTGTAGAGATGGGTCATTCATGAAATAGGTCGGTAGAGGGTTGCAGAGGTGGGTCATTCATGTAATAGGTCGGTAGAGGGTTGCAGAGGTGGGTCGTGCATGAAATTGGTCGGTAGAGGGTTGTAAAGATGGGTCATTCATGAAATAGGTCGGTAGAGGGTTCCAGAGGTGGGTCATTCATGTAATAGGTCGGTAGAGGGTTGCAGCGGTGGGTCGTGCATGAAATTGGTCAGTAGAGGGTTGTAGAGATGGGTCATTTATGAAATAGGTCGGCAGAGGGCTGTAGAGATGGGTTGACCATGAATAGGTCGGTAGAGGGCTGCAGAGATCTGTCATTCATGAAATAGAGTGGTAGAGGGTTGTAGAGGTGGGTAATTCCTAAAATAGGTCGGTAGAGTGTTGTAGAGATCGGTCAATCATAAAATAGAGCGGTAGAGGGTTGCAGAGGTGGGTCATTCATGAAATAGGTCGGTAGAGGAGGGTCATTCATGAAATAGGTAGGTAGAGGGTTGTAGAGGTGGGTCATTCGTGAAATAGGTCGGTAGAGGGTTGTAGAGGTGGGTCGTGCATGAATTTGGTCGATAGAGGGTTGTAGAGATGGGTCATTCATGAAATAGGTCGGTAGATGGTTGTAGAGATCGGTCAATCATAAAATAGAGCGGTAGAGGGTTGCAGAGGTGGGTCATTCATGAAATAGGTCGGTAAAGGTGGGTCATTAATGAAATAGGTAGGTAGAGGGATGCAGAGGTGGGTCATTCATGAAATAGGTCGGTAGACGGTTGCAGAGGTGGGTCATTCATGTAATAGGTCGGTATAGGGTTGCAGAGGTGGGACATTCATGAAATAGGTCGGTAGAGGGTTGTAGAGTTGGGTCATTCATGAAATAGGTCGGTAGAGGGTTCCAGAGGTG